ATCACAAAATCTGTGTCTGCTGCTTTTTTTGTGTACCCTGCCCACCCAGTCCCCTAAAAGTACGACAAGCACCTGCAGGAGCAGAAACAGACTGTGCTTGGTGTATAACACAGTACACTCGGGCAGTACACCACAGATGTTTCACCTTCACTGAAATATCAACACCACTGGCAAAAGCAGGGTAGGGAATTTAACAATGGTGTGATCCCACCCTGGATTCTAAGACTTTGTCTGTTCTCACCTGGCCCCTCATTCAGTCCATTTTGTCTCCTATCAGCTTCAGCTGCTGCGCCTTCCTCTTTTCCTGGTCCCTTTCTCCCTGACCATATGGTGTTTATTTTGGCTGCAAAAGACATTAATTTCATTATTCATGAGGAAATCTCACTCTAATTAAGAGGAAAAAAACCCAACAACCAAGAGGCAACAACTGCCAAGCCCTAGTACATGATAAAATTAAGGAGATACTCGGTATCTTCCTTGATCTGCTATTTTGGTTGTGGAAGGAAACATTATTAGCTTTTGAAGAAAATGCTACAGCATTTGTCAGACAGTGGGCAGAAGCCACTAATGACAGCTGTGCCCAACAAAATTAATTCTTAGTAAAACACTAGTCCTCCTTGCCTCAGAGAGATAAATTCTCAATGGTCTTAACTACACATAGATTATATAAACCCTGTGCCAGGAAATAAAATTGCATTACACAGCCAAACCCCAATACTATGTGCATTAACAGTACTTTCACCTTAACAGTGCAAGACAGCTTACTGCAAGCAAAAACAATGCCCAGTAACAGCACAGAAAGTATATTAACTCTCCACAAATTCCTCTCAACATCTGATTCAAAATCATTTCTTTTTCCATTTGCCTTGGAACAAAAAGAGTTTTGCTGTTTGCCTGAAAGTCTTAACAGTGTGGCTTTTCAGTAGCCAAAAAGGATTTGGTTTTTAATCAATTACTGTCAGGAGAAAAAAAAAAAAGAAGGAAGTAAAAGCCTCACCTCACTTGGTCAGAGACCTCACCTTTATGTTTACTTTAGACACCAGACATTCTTGTCCCTATGGTTTCACAGGGAAAAAACAAATCAAAAACATACCATAGCAATGTACTTCAGTAGCTACCATTTACTTGCCTGGCACATCAGAAAGACACCTGGGAACACTGTGTAACAATGGTTACCCAGTAAATCCCAAAGACAGATGTAGTGTTTACATTTGATATGCAATTTGGTGAACTGGATCTTGCCTAGGCTTGGATTTCAAGCTATAACCACCAGGATTAGACTGAAATAAATGAGATTACTTGAAGTAATTGCTAACTGAAGTTTAACTGTAATGCTTTTTTTCCTGAAAATTCCACAAGATTCTATGGCCAAGCTTCAGAAGATACCACACTAAGTGAATATTTCTGTTTGAAGTTCTTGCTCCAAGCACCTTTAGGGATGGTGCTTCAAACAAAATCATGTCTCCACGCATCCACTGATCTCGGCATCTCCATTCCAGAATACGGCTCCTTGAACTGATGAACTACATAAACTGTACTTACAGAGAGATGATTTCACACACAGAGAAGAAGAGCTCCTTCAGTGCACATGAGCAGTTACACCCCTTGATGAAGAAGGCCCACAGCTGAGCAACACACTTATTTAGTCAGGAGCAGAAGGGCAGGATTGGAAGGAGGTGGCCTGTGCAGTTCAGTCTCTCAGTAACTTCCTGAGCTTGAGAAAAAGTCCTTGAGCTGCTCAAGAGCATCATGGGAATAAAAAATGATAGATTAAAAAAAAAAACAAAAAACCAAATGAAAACCAGGTAAGAGAGTTGAATACAGGGCAAAACAAGTTGCACAGCTGCATAGTTTGAACATCAAAATGAGTTTAGAGCAGATCAGCAAATTCAGCTCTCTTTGCTGACAGGAACAGTTACACTTACTGTTCTAGCTTTCCTTAACCAGCAAAAATTTAAATCCTTCTCAAAAAGCAGGACTAGAAGCCAAAAGAAAACTCAAGACCAGGCATTTTAGGAAGCTCTGGAGAAAAAAAAAAAAAAAAGGCAAAAAGCTTAATGCCAAGGAATCCTTAAGAATAACAGAACTAATTTCAGCAATGGATTCAATTAAGAAAATGAAATGCTTTATACATCAATCCATGCTAAAGTGTGGACCTAAGAATTTAAATGTGATCTTTAAGTTAGCAATACATTTAAGAATATACACTAGCCAAAAAGTCTGTGTAGTCTGTTCCATTTGAAAAAGCCCTATTCAGAACTGCATCCTCATGGTTGTTTTCCATTTCTCATAAGAAGCTGACTTACATTTTCCTATGCTTTCTTTTAAAAAACCTGAAGATCATACTTGATTATCTAAAGCTCCCTCAGCCTTTTACCAGTCAATGACTGCACAGTACTCTATACACTGCAAATTAAAGAGCAAACACTGAAAATATATTACTACTGAAAATACATTTGCTTTTACCATTCAGCTGCCTCACCTCTTCCACATCAACTGCATTCACCTCACCTATTAAGAGAACAAGTTACACAAACAGTTGCTAATACATCCAAAATGAACGTGCTCGCTTGCTTATAAACTACATTTTGTTCAAAACAAAAACCCCAGAATATGAGAATTAAACTTGCAATGCAAAGTTTGATGCTGCTTCTTTTTATCCACAGTCCATCTGCCATTCCTACAGTCAGGGAGATTAATCACTGTAATAGTGCATTAAGTGCTAGTTTGTACAGCCAAATATTCTATGTGATCCCGCTCCCCACGTGATGCCTTCCCCCTTGTGTTGTTCATCAGCATTCAAAGATACCAGGTCGGGTGAAAAAGAATTCACATCATGTCTTGATGGGGAAGTGAACCTGTTGCAGGCAATCTTGGCAACACTGCTTATCTGGGTCCTGGGTCACACAGACCAAACCAACCCCAAGAGCTCTGGTAGTCTTCAGAAAACAAAGAGGTTTCCATCATGTCCCCCCCAACCCCTTCTTTCTTATCCAAGAAATAAAAGGAAAGAGGAGTAGTACTCTTTCCAGAACCATGGTACCTTGTTCCCTCTCAAACAAACAAGAGACAACAGTACATTTCAACTTTATTAGAAAAAAAAACCCCAAAAGTTTATACAAAGCTCTGCATTTTACAGAAAACCAACCCCCCCAACCACAAAGAAATCCGACATTGCAAGCTGTATGCACTTCTGTTTTCATATACATACATATATATATGTACATACACATATATATATGTGTGTGGGCGCACGCGTGTGTATATATAGTGTGTGACGTATTTTTTTTTTGCATGGTTTGCATTCATTATCTTACAAAGTTAACATTCAGTAGAAAAAAAAAAAAAGAGGATCTTTGTTACCATTATTTTCTCATATAAATAACTGTGAGCAGTCCCTCTGCAGATAGATAAAAAACACCTTTTCGTGTCATTCTGTAAAAAACAGACATTACTGAAATGGTACTGAAATGGTACTGAAATCTTTCAAGTTTTTTTCAATACCACCATAAAAATATCATCTAGCCCCCAATTCAAAATGCTTGTCCAAGGCATTAGAAGAGAAAGGACTGTAAGACAATTCTGGAAAGATCAGTTCTTTAAGCCAACATTCAGGTAGATAATTTTTGCTGGACCTCATACATTGGTGTGAAATGAGCACAAACAGAAGACCAAGCTCTCTCTGTCTGCCTGGGAAAGCCGGTTCTTTTGTCCGTTGTCACTGAGTCAAATTCCAGCAAAACACCCAGCAGTATGAAGGAGCTGACAGACTCTCAGCTCACCCTCCTTGCCCTATGACAAAGCTACAGACTTTCTTGATGCAATTATACCAGCTCAGTAAATTTTTCCTACTCCATTCACCTTAAAAGGAGCTGTTGGACTAATCATGGCATGGTTAGACAGACATCAGGTTGCTGAATTACTGGGAGAAAAGCTCAGCTAGAGGGAAAAATGCAAGACAACTGAAAGGAAGAAAATGCTATAGAAGAGCTACTGAGTGACTCCCAAAGCTCTGGTTTGAAGAAGCAGGAACAGCAGAGAGATAGGAATTGCAGCACAAAACATCCTTGTGTTTACTGCAGTTAACGGTGACAGCGTGATCCAAGTTAATTAACTTCCTGGTAAACAATCAGTCTTTCCGTCAAGCACCATGATGGGGAGAAGATTTTGAAGGCAATACAAGTGGCTGTGGTGACAACAAAGGTAATGAAAGTAAAGAACACAATGATGCCAATTAAATGGAGAGTAATGCCAATGAAGATGTTTCAACTCCCAGAGATGCTGGCAACAAGAAGATGGTTATATGGTTGGTGTTGATGATGGCCAGAATTCATTCATATGTCCATGTAGTCATCATCTTCATCAGTATCACTTTCCAGTGAGGATTCCTGGCTTGAGGTCTCTAAGATTTCCAAAGCTGGCTGACAAAGGCTCTCCTTCTTTACATTCGCTGCAGACTGAGCAGACAAAATAGCAGACTGATCCCAAAAAGAGAGAGAGAGAATATATTGCTAAATAGTCAGGATAAACCCATGATCACAGGGATAAAAGCCCACTGGTTGTTATTCCTTCACATTCAATAGCTCTCTTACTTCTATGAAAGATATGATATCCTAATGTGAAACAATATGACATTTACCAGAGGGCTTCCCCACAGTTAATGTTCTGGTAGCTTCCACCAACCTAAGAATTGCAATGGCTGCACTGGCTCACTCAGCCATCTTTGTAATTCCTTCCAATTCAGAAAAGGGATAAGGACTAGAATAGCTCTGATTTCACCCACGGCCAATATTTCACCAATCCTTAAAAAACTGGCTCCTGCCGGTAACAGGTACCACCTTCTTCCACTACTTATACTGCCTCTGGTTATGAACTGCTGCTTCTTTCATACAAGTATTTTATTGAGGGGAGAATTAAGATAAAAACAATAATCTAAAAAATTACTGTTTCCCTTTTATTACCTTTAATTTTTGCTTGGTCTCTTCTGAAATGCTGCCCTTTGGAGAAAGGAGGGTGGGAGTGGGTGGAGTGACAGTGATCTCAGGTGGAAATTTGGTGACAGATGAAGGTATGAAAAGCTTTGGCATGTTGGGCAGAACGCGAGTTTTTACTCGGGTGCCATCTGTCTTGTTCTGCTGACTTCCCAAAGTCTGTGAACTGGAGCTGAGTTCAGGCTTGGAACTGGAGGCTAAACAGAAAACAGTAAGAAAAAACATGTTAGAAAGTTATCTAGGATTTCAGGTGTCAAAGAAGAGGGAAGAGTTCATTGTTAGACATATGGCTGGCTCAAAAGGCCTTTTTTCAAGTCTTGCATAAATCAAAGCTCATAACCAGAAGAAATTGCCTCAAGATTGTGTAATGACAACTGGAAACCAGTAATAATTTAAAAATATCTTACTGGACAGCAGAAACTCAATCTGACCAAGAATGACAAGTGGCAGTGTAGCACTGACCCACCTGCACGTAGTTAGAAGGCCACTACAAATACCATTCTCTCACTTGTTTCAGATACAATCATCTCATCTTTGCATTCTCTCTCTCTCTCTCTCCCCCCTTCCAATCTGTAATGCAACAAATAAAGCTCCTTAGCTTCAGTTTTGAGTCTTTATTTCCTCCACCACAGCGCTGCCTCTTGAGAGAGGAACGCCTCAGCAATTTAAGAAGAATATACGGTAACACTCATCAAAATTTCCTCATTACTCTCTTCAAATCCTGCCATAAAACCCTCCGTGGTGTGCTCATGCTGCTGTCTCCCACACTAGTTAGCATCATTTCCACATTATTCCCAAGTGTCTCAGCTTGTGGTCTTTACAATCCAAACTTGCTCAGAGAGTTTGTTAAGTACATCTAACAAGAAGGATCCAGCCCTTCCCTAGGCACTATCACATTACAAAGTCATACATACACAACAATAACCAGGAGATGACAACACTTTCACATTAAAAATTGAAAATTTGTTAAAAGATATTCCTTACTAATAATGCTACTTCATATGGAGTCAAAATTATTTTTTTAAGAAGCTGTATAAATGAAAACACCAGAGCCTTTCTCAGTCTCATAATAATGACAAGTGCTCATATACATTTTTTCAGATGCAGTATTGTCAAATCCAGCTCTAGCAGATTTCTGGAATGGACACAGCCACTTACACACAGCAAAACAAAATGCCAGTTTCCTAATGCTACCCTGAGAAACAAGCAGCAGTTGAACAAAGTACTAAGGGATGTAAAATTGAATTTTATGTTCTTAACTGTGCACAGGAATGCAAGAGCTGCCACAACAGATGAGGCACAGCTTTCCATCAAGGTCAGTGACCCATCTCCATGGGCAGCCAATCCTTTCAGACACAGGATAATCTGCCTCTCACAAATAAGGAAAAACAAGATACTCCAAACATAAATATCTAGATTATGCTCTCCTGAAATACCAGGTTTTACATTTTTTTCAATTAAAACACCAACTCCTACTTCTCTTGGGAGAGGGCAGAGGAGGGATAGAACACATTAACTGCTATAATGCTGGTTTTTATGATTACTCAGATTGAGTCAGGTTTTGTGAAAAATTGTTTCCTTCTGCTAAATATTCCAATAGTGTAATCCAAAGTGTTATCATACTGCCCTAT